AATTCGTGCACAATACTTATGCATACGCTCAAATACTTCGCAATTTTCCTTGTGCTCACCCCCTTATGCAAAATGGTGGGTCAAGGAAGAGTGCAAGAAGCTTCATGCAAAGGTCTGCACTAACCACATAGATAACATGCCTAGGAGGGTGTGGATGGTGATCAACGCCAAGAGTAGTGGACTAGGTACTAGAAACGTTTCGGAAGTTTGCTCTTTGTCCTGGGAAAAAACTGTCCGGATGTACTCGTTGTATATCTTTTGGAGTATGAGTTAGATCCAATGTACTATTCTAGTTCTTAGTGTAGTGAACGCATCCACTTTGTGCCTCTCCCAACATGTACCACCGTGCATCTTGCAGGTTTACCATACAGTAGTCTCAAAGCCTAAAAACCCAACTTATTGCCAACATCCGGACGGTTTTTTCCCTCAGTGTACCTGACAGGTGCTGACGTCACAGTGCGAACGGACCACAAATCCTTACAGTACTTGCGCGCCCAACCGAACCTCAACCCACGGCAGATCCGATGGCTCGATTTCCTCAAGTCGAATTGCCACGACACCATTACCTACAAACGGGGTGCCAACAATATCGCCGATGCCCTGACTCGTCCTACTGCCCATACCAACGCTATACTAGTCACCCAAACCCACCCATTACTTACCGGACTATTCACCCACGGCTACAAGATCGATCCGTTCTTCCACTCTGCCATCCATCAACAGCATACCACTGCCACCGTGCCTTATTTTAATAAGCGCGCTACTTCTCGCATCTGGGTGCCCGGCTACGATTTACTTCGTACCCTCCTAATCCAGGAATCCCACGACAACCCAACCTCCGGGCATTTCGGCGTCGACAAAAACCATGACGATGCTGCAGCGGAATTATTACTGGCCGAACATGGCCGATGACATGCGCAAGTACGTGCCCTCCTGCACTGCCTGCCAGATTATGAAATCATCGCATCAGCGAGCAGCCGGACTACTATAGCCGTTGGATCCGCCCGAGCGACCCTGGCAACACGTCACGATGGACTACGTGACAGAACTGCCGGCCGGTCCTAGCGGAAACGACGCCATCCTCGTGGTCGTTGACCGACTCACGAAAATGGCGCACTTCATCGCTTGCCAACAGAACATCACGGGCGAACAAACTGCGCAGCTGTTCATCGCAAACGTCATCCGACTGCACGGACTGCCCTCGCCATCATTTCAGACCGAGACCCGAAATTCACATCGAATTTCTGGCGACACCTGTGGGACCAATTCGGCACCAGACTATAGTTTTCCTCCGCCTACCACCCACAGACCGACGGGCAGACCGAACGAGTCAACCAGACCATGGAGCAACTCATTCGAACTACCTGTACTGACCCACAAACATGGAGAAATCCCTTCCACTGCTGGAATTCGCGTATAATAACGCGCCCTCCGCCACAACCCATCAGTCCACATTTTTCCTCAATTACGGACAGGACCCAGTGGTACCCTCTACCCCGAACATCGAGACACCCGTGCCCCAGTCCCAGAAATTTGCTGAAGACATTCTTGCCGTTCGAGAAAAAGCAGCTGATGCAATCAGGAAAGCCAACCTGGTCGCAAGCCGACAAGCCGATCGTCATCGCCGTGACGTCACTTACAAAGTGGGAGATCTCGTCCTTCTCGACACTCGCAATTTGCGGCTGCCGATACCGAGCAAACTCCGACCCAGATTCTGCGGACCTTTTCAAGTGACCAACATGGTGACACCTGTCACTGTTCACCTTCAACTCCCGGCTGATTTGGCGTCACCACGTCAGCCTTTTACGACCCTACGTCCCCAGTTCGTCAGAATTGGCACGTAACCGTGGTGCACCGCAGCTGTCGCCTCCGCAGGAACCGACGGACTGATCCTTTGAAAATTCTTGGCCATCGCGTCACAACGCAGCTGAACCGTCGGATGGTTGGTTTTCTCGTCCGCTGGCGAGATCGCACGTCCGAAGATGACAGCTGGGTGCCGCTCGCTGACCTAGAATCACATCCGAGTCTCACAGCGTATTTCCACCGTCGGAATGTCTCCGATGCCCGAGGACACGTTTAGGAGGGGGGGTGTAGTGTAAGGAATTTCTTTTCCTTACTGAGTCGCCCGCTACCGCGTACACCCGAACTCCTCGACTCGTCACGTTCGGCCTTCATTCTCGGCCCAACCTTTCACGAGTCGCGTCCGACACTGTCGTCACACTGCCGAACCTACCCACGTTCCGAGGTTATCGCCCTAGTACGCCAAACCCTATATAACCTCGTGCTTTCATTGCAATAGCAACATTGTATTCTCACGTTATAGTTCATTGACATTTTCTAAATCATAACACGCGAGGCTTCCTGAAGCCACCAGCTGGCTAATTGTGACATTTACACGACAACGCTTGAAGGTTTGAAGATTTGGCCCTTGGATTTTTTTCCAGGGTGTCCAGGATTGGCTGCCCAGATTTCAGCCTTGGTTGTTACATGCATAGATTTTGGGTACTATCGAGGAGTCTCCTGCTTAAAGCGAGAGGTTATAATAGTGACCCCTCTTTCTAGTGGGGCCCAACTAGAAACGACCCAACAGGGAATATGTTTTTGGAGGGGCGAGCAGCAGCCCGCGTTTTTTACCAAATCATAGGCCACGAAATCGAATTGCGCTTGCGACATTTCGCACTGGCGATAGATTTTACGACCACAAATTTGCGCAGTTAGCATTTCGACCAATCGGGGCCCAACATTGGTTTTGCCGGAGTAGTGAATCTCGGTCCAACTTGAAATTCAAGTTGGGCCCACTTGGTGCAGCTTACAAGCAGTGGGGGCTGGGCGACAAGTGGCGCGGTGCTTGCGATTTTTCCTGAGCCACGTTTCCCACCATACGTCATGTGTTTCCCGCCAACCAATCAGGTAACTGCCTCCTCTCGCCCAATTTCCCCTGCTCGCATTTCTCGACAGTGTACCCTCTGCCCCTTTCGCAGTTTTGTCCCTTAGTCGCAAAAACGGACGTCTGGGCCCTTTCAACTTGGACCCGCCTTCACTATTTTGACCTCTCGCTTTAAAGCGAGGGTCTCGAGAAGCAAAAAACCAAATCCGAAAGGTTTGGCTTCGGGTTGACGAAATTAGCGAAACAGTAACAGCGCCCAACTAGCACCCCTCACCACACCTCGAAATTTTCGAGACCCCCCCGAAACCAAAACCTTTGGTTTGGTTTTTTTGCTTCTGGAGACCCTCGCTTTAAGAGCTTCTCTTACTCACTTGCATAGCTTCATTCTGCACTGATGAAGATGTTCTAGGGTTTTTACCTTGGACGTCGTAACATGTTGCTATAATCATTTGATTCGAAGCTAAGTTCAGTTTTTTGAGATCTTTGGCAACTCACACGGGCAACTTGAGTATTTTACTATCAATATTTTGCTAAAATTTTTGTTTACACTGCTGCTCGTCTCGATCATGGCTAACGACACTTGGAGTATTCCCACTGGAGAAGACGATGTCGCTGTAAACGACACAGATTACGCTATGATTCGTCGCAGCGAAGGTCACTTCTCAAAAACTGTCAACTTATACGTATGCTTGTATGTAGAAGTTATAGGCTAGATAGGTGTGTGTTCTTAGAGGGTACAACTCCAACCCTAATATCTCCTTGTACTCACTTGTTTTTAGGTATTAATGTATTCTAACATAGTATCATAAGCAGTTTAGGTCAGCCCACCTGCTTCCGCCCCTAGCCATAGCCTACCGCCCCTGGCGTACCGCCCCCCCCTAGCGCGCCTACCGGCCCCTAGCGTACCGCATGTTCCTAGCGCGCCCACCGGCCCCTAGCGTATCGCCGGTCCCCTAGCGCACCTCGCCGGCCCTAGCATGCCCACCGTCCCTTACGTGACGTGCCGGCCCCTCAGCGCACCGTCGGCCCCTCACGCCTAGCCGGCACCTAGCGCGCCGTGACGGCCTCACGCGCCTAGCTGGCCCCTCGCGCCGAGATGACCCTCGCACCTCGCCGGCCCCCCCCTTTCGCCTAGCTGGCCCCTCCCACCAAGCCGGCCCCTCTCGACTAGCCGGCCCCTCGAGCGGAGCCGTCCCCGCGTGCCTAGCCGGCCCCTCTCGCCTAGCCAGCCCTCGCGCACCGCTGGCCCCTCGCACCTAGACGGCCGTACACTGCACCGTGCTGGCCCCTCCTACCTAGCCGCCCCTCTCGCACACCGCCAGCCCCTAACGCCTAGCCAGCCCCTCGCACGCTTGCCCGCCCTCTCAAACACCCGCCCGGCCACTTCGCGCTCGCCGGCCCCTCACGCACCCGCCGGCCCTTCGCGTGCACGTCGGACCCTTACGCACTTGCCGACCCCTTCCCGCGCGCCGGTCCCTCACGCGCCCGCCGGCCCCTCCCATGCCCTCCGGCCCCTCCCTTGCTCGCCGGCCCTTCGCGCGCGTTGGTCCCTCCCACGCCCGCTCGCCCCTCACGTGCCTCGGACCCCTCCTCGGTCTTCTGCTCGGTCTTCTCGCTGGGGAGTCCTGCCACAGTATCGCTGTGTCGCATTGCCGTTGTGCTGCCGTGGCTGTTCCGCCGTAACGCTGTACTGCGGAGGTTGCACGATGGCGGACGTTGTGCTTCGCCAGGATGCGGAGGGACACGCGATCAACGTCACCGCCTAGCTTGTCGATCTCCGCCGTCACCTAACAGGTCAGCGCCAGGATGGGCACTTTCTGGCTATGCATGTTCATGGCTTGCTTCCCCACCCCTCCCTGCTCTATCGCCTCTCTCCCTGCCTGCTCTATCGCTTCTCTGCCTCCCAACTCTATCGCCTCTCTCTCTCTCTCCCTACTCTATCGCCTCTTTCCCTCCCTGCCCTATCGCCTCTCTCCCTCCTTGCTCAATCGCCTCTCTCCCTCCCTGCTCTATCGCCTCTCTCCCTCCCTGCTCTATCGCCTCTCTCCCTACCTGCTCTATCGCCTCACTCACTCCCTGCTCTATCGCCTCTCTCCCTCCCTGCTCTATCACCTCTCTCCCTCCCTGCTCTATTGCCTCTCTCCATCCCTGCCCTATCGCCTCTCTCGCTCCCTGCTCTATCGCCTCTCCTCCTCCCTGCTCTATCGCCTCTCTCTCTCCCAGCTCTATCGCCACTCTCCCTCCCTGCTCTATCGCCTCTCTCCCTCCCTGCTCTATCGCCTCTCTACCTCCCAACTCTATCGCCTCTCTCTCTCCCTGCTCTATCTCCTCTCTGCCTCCCTGCTCTATCGCATCTCTCCCTCCCTGCTCTATCGCCTCGCTCACTCCCTGCTCTATCGCCCTCTCCCTCCCTGCTCCATCGCCTCTCTCGCTCCCTGCTCTATCGCCTCTCCTCCTCCCAACTCTATCGCCTTTGGCTCTCCCACCTCTATCGCCAGTCTCCCTCCCTGCTCTATCGCCTCTCTCCCTGCCTGCTCTATCGCCTCTCTGCCTCCCAACTCTATCGCCTCTCTCTCCCTGCTCTATCGCCTCTTTCCCTCCCTGCCCTATCGCCTCTCTCCCTCCCTGCTCTATTGCCTCTCTCTCTCCCTGCTCTATCGCCTCTATCCCTCTCTGCTCTATCGCCTCTCTCTCTCCCTGCTCAATCGCCTCTCTCTCTCCCTGCTCTATCGCCTCTCTCCCTTCCTGCTCTACTCGCCTCTCTCGCTCCCTGCTTTACTGCCTCTCTGCCTCCCTACTCTATCGCCTCTCTTCCCTCCCTGCGCTATCGCCTCTCTCCCTCCCTGCTCTTTCGCCTCTCTCTCCCTGCTATGTCACCTCTCTCCCTCCCTGCTCAATCGACTCTCTGCCTCCCTGCTCTATCGCCTCTCTCCCTCCCTGTTCTATCACCTCTCTCCCTCCCTGCTCTATCGCCTCTCTCCCTGCTTGCTCTATCGCCTCTCTCCCTCTCTGCTCTATCGCCTCTCTCTCTTCCTGCTCTATTGCCTCTCTACCTCCCTCCCTCTATCGCCTCTCTGGCTCCCTGCTCTATTGCCTCTCTTCCTCCCTACTCTATCGCCTCTCTCTCCCTGCTCTATCGCCTTTTCCGTCCCTGCTCTATCGCCTCTCTTCCTCCCTGCGCTATCGCCTCTCTCCATCCCTGATCTATCGCTCTCTCCCTCCCTGCTCTATCGCTCTCTCCCTCCCTGCTTATCGCCTCTCTCTCTCCCTGCTCTATCGCCTCTCTCCCTCCCTGCTCTATCGCCTCTCTCTCTCCCTGCTCTATTGCCTCTCTACCTCCCTCCTCTATCGCCTCTCTGCCTTCCTGCTCTATCGCCTCTCTTCTTCCCTGCTCTATCGCCTCTCTCTCCCTGGTCTATCCCCTTTCTCCGTCCCTGCTCTATCGCCTCTCTTCCTCCCAGCTCTATCGCCTCTCTCCCTCCCTGCTCTATCGCCTCTCTCCCTCCCTGCTCTATCGCCTCTCTCCCTACTTGCTCTATCGCCTCTCTCCCTC